AGAATCAAAATTCTTAGAAACCTTCAATTAAACTAATAGTAGACAATACACTGAATATTCTACGGATCAGCACTTCTAGAATATCTTAGAAAATTAKTCTGTTTCGATATTTTATTTTCTAAAAGAGTATGTAAATTCTCAAACTGTTCTCGAGACATTGAAAATAAATAAAAAATCGGTCTTCAACAGAACTCAATTCACTGCACAGTCGGTGAAACTCCCCGAATTCTTCCCTTTTTTAGTTTATTTCATGTACCCATTTTCCTTTTTTTCTTCTTGCTTGACTTAAGGCAAGTAGAAGTAGCAATTCTTCTTYGTCAGAAGAACTACTTGACATTTTGTAATATTAAAACAGAAAAGTGAAAAAGTAAAAATAAAATATAACTAGCAGTATACTTTAGTTCAGTTTTCAAACTGGTTCGCTCAAATAGTCCGCATTCTGTTTGACCATCAGCGGACCGGCGGACTAGTACGCGCCGGACCGGCGGCCTGGCCGCGCGGACAGTCCGCTTTCTGTTTGACGGGACCTTAAGTGACTACTCAAAAATAAGAAAATTCATTTTTTGTGGCTCCTAAATACATTTTTCTTTATGTAAAAGCATAGTGTTTGTGACACTTCAGTTGAAAGTTATCATTATGAATCAGGTATTTATTTTTTTTTTTTACAATTCAAGAAGTTGTGTAAATAATGATTATGAATTCTGTGCTCTGTGGAAAGACTCAGACAAATAAAATTTTATCAAAAAAATAAATAATTTTTTTTATTCATTTCAAAAAAAAAAGTGTACAAAGACAATTTCAGGAGGCATTTGTACACTTGCACACATTTTGGACTAATGGACACAAAAAAAATTATTAGTTTTAAATTATATTTTTTTCATAAAGAAAAAGAAATTATAATTAAAAAAAAAAAAAAATAGAGTTCAACTTAAATGTTAAAATATGTATAAATAAAATATAAAATATACAAAATAATTATTAAACTTTTATAACATTGCACATTAACATAAAATAATATGTTTACATACATCATCAAAAATACTGATAATAGCTGTCAACAGTTAACCAGTATAATAATTTCACAATACACATAAATTTTTTTTTATATATCAATATCATTGATTTCACGTAATTACACATTCCTTAAGTWAAATTTCATTTTGGTTTTTCAACTCACTGGACTCAATAAATCGTGTTTGYTTTTTTTCGGAACACAGTATAATGTTTATAGTTTTTGGTAACAATTGGTTTATAATTTTTTTTTTTATATAAATATTTGGATGAAAAAAGTTTAGTTCACTTTATAATGTCCAAGAGTATGTTTTACAATAATGGTATATATATGCGAAAAATAAAGCATAAAAATCAAAAAAAAAAAAAAATAGTAATAATAATAAAAATTTCTTGAAAATTTTTGTTTTCAAATAAAATTTGAATAGAATATAAATAAAACGTGCAATATATATATTATTATTGTTCCTTAATTTTCAAACACTGTTTGAGGAAAAACCCAGAGATCAAATGAAATCATTTCTAAGTATAATTTTACAATGTAAAAACTAATAAATCTTGGAAACAAAAAAAATAATAATATAAAACACATTATTTTCTATRTAGTTAAATGTTAAAAACGTTACAYTGTTTAAAAATTTTTTTTTGTAAAGTTTAGTTCGTTTTGTTTATTTTTAAAAATAATATAATATATTATAATATATTTCTATGTATATACAAATTAATCTACAAAATTACATCATTTTTACAATATCCAATAAGAATTGCAACAGGATTCAGTCGACCTAACTTTTAAGTACAAAAAACGTAATAATTTCAAATTTTTTTAAAYCCCTAAAACCTCTGTTCTAATTTCACTCAATAATAACAGTCACCAGTTGTGGGCGGTAAGTCATAAGATGTTMTCTTCACATTAATAAATTTTTCGGTGTTTCCATTTTACAATAATACAACACAACTCCTAATAATAAATTAGTGGAAAAAAAAATTGGTAAAAAATCAAAGGGATAAAATAAAAAGTACACAATAATCTCAGAATAATGTCATATAGACTTAACCCCTTGGTTATACAAGTCATTAAGAACAATAATAATAATAATAATAATAATAATAATTATCTGATTAGGTAAACATTACCTTCATAAAGAGAGTATTTTGGTATAGGGTAATTACAAACAAAATAAAATTATCGATTGGGA